ATTCTCTGGCGTAAGCTGTAAACGTCATTTTAATTGGATGAATCTAGTACTCTTCTCATTCTTGATCACTATAAATTCAACCCACGAAACACTTTCGACATTAACATTATAGACATTTTTCTTCTTAGGGAGGTTATAGCAATTCAATGGCCTCGGAAAAACACCTTGTTCCCCTCTTTTGTTGCATTCTCTGCTTCACTTTAACCAATTTCGTATTAAATTTTCGGTTCGTTATTTCCGAGAAACCTGTTATTGCCTGTGATGTCTCTAGCAATCCCGGACTAAAGAATTTCAGTTTCTGTAATGCATCTTTGGACGTGAAAACCCGAGTGGATGATTTGGTAAATAGGCTGACATTGCAGGAAAAAATTGGGTTCTTGGTTGATCGTTCAAAGGGAGTGAGTAGTCTTGGAATTCCGGATTATGAGTGGTAGTCTGAGGCTTTACATGGAGTCTCAAATACCGGGGGGCTGGACCGGCCGATCACCAAATTTTCAAGACTGGTCCCCGGCGCCACCAGCTTCCCTCAGGTCATTCTCACCAGTGCAACTTTCAATGTATCCCTGTTTGAATTGATTGGAAAGGTAATGCACATCAGTTTCATTAGCGTTACTGGTTTTCCTTCCCATTTTCTGCTTTTACTCTGACATTCTTTGCCCTTTTAAGATTTTTACAAGCACCACATCTTCTGTGGGTGCATCCTTTTTTCTTCTCTCACTGTGTGTGGTGGTTGATTGTAGATAAAGTACAGGTTTATACTATCAGCATTAAATGTCTTTTCTCCAATGCAAAAAGTCTCTTACGTAAAATTTAATGGATTTTCACTCAGTGGTCGTTTGTTGAATTTCTGCTTCCAAAACGTTTTTCAATATTTTTTGCCCCTTTTTTGTAAATCTAATAGTTGATGAACCAAAAGGAACGACGAAATTTACTGGGAATAAGACGTTTAGAAGATTGGTATTACGCATTAAAATAATTAAGCTGGATAAAGCAGAAGTTTTTGATCGCACAGTCATTTGTGGCCAGCATTAAATTATGAGGATTTTGAATATGATTCCACCTCTGTAACTTTACTGAAGTAAACATTAATTTTATTTGATTAGTCCTCTTAATCTTCTCTTTAGTGGTTAATCCATGATTTTTTTAATTTTTTTCTACACGTGTTGCAACTTGCGAATAACAGAAACACGCACTATACTATACTGACGAACAGTTGTTTTAGCTCTTTTTTTTTTTGATAATCCGATATGATGTTTGAAGTCTAAATGAATTCAGGATTAGTGAAAATTCATAACTAATCCTTACAACAAAGCAAAATTTGGTAGCATGGGCCTTGAAAAGTTTTTGATGACTGCAGGTGGTTTCTACCGAGGCCAGAGCAATGTACAATGTTGGATTAGCTGGATTAACATTTTGGTCCCCGAACGTCAACATTTTTCGTGACCCCAGATGGGGACGAGGCCAGGAAACTCCAGGAGAAGACCCCATGCATTCAAGTAAGTATGGTGCAGCATATGTAAGAGGCTTGCAACAGAGAGACGATGGTGACAAAGATAGACTGAAAGTTGGAGCTTGCTGTAAACACTACACCGCCTATGATATAGATAACTGGAAAGGGATTAATAGATACACATTCAATGCTGTGGTAATGCTTTATAATCAATCAAATTTTACTTGATTCATGCTTATTTCCCGAATTCTGATTATAAAAAGTAAGATTTTTAATTTATGCTGCGTGAGTTAGGTAAAACAACAAGATTTGGATGATACATTCCAACCCCCATTCAAGAGCTGTGTAATTGACGGAAATGTCGCTAGTGTGATGTGTTCGTATAACCAAGTTAATGGCAAGCCAACATGTGGTGATCCCGACCTCTTAGCTGGTGTGATTCGAGACCAGTGGCAATTAAATGGGTATTTAAATTTTGCATAGTTTCAATATTCTACTCAATAACGTTCCACTCCGGAGGGGAAAGACAAGAACACTAATCAATGCATTTGCTTCTTGTTGATTGATGCAGGTACATTTCTTCCGACTGCGATTCTCTAGATAAGATGTTTAATTCCCAAAAGTACACCAAAACACCAGGGGAGACTGCTGCTTTGGCTATAAAGTCAGGTGTGTAATATGTGATTGAGCTATAATTTTTAGTCTTAGTATTAGACTGCGTGTAGACTATTCCCTTGACCGCAGATTGACTCGTGCTTTTAGAAATTGTATGCTACTTTGTTCTTTATTTTAATCTCAAAGACAACTTATGACTGGATTAATATTCATGACCTTTCACTCTTACTATACAGGGTTGGATCTCAACTGTGGATCTTTCCTGGGTGATCACACTCAAGCTGCAATAGATCGTGGACTACTAAATGAAACCGACATAAACAAAGCAATTTCGAACAATTTTGCCACACTGATGAGACTGGGATTCTTTGATGGTGACCCGAGTAAGCAACTGTACGGAAATCTTGGGCCGAAAGACGTGTGCACCCCGGAAAATCAGGAGTTTGCCCGTGAAGTTGCAAGGCAAGGGATTGTTTTGCTCAAAAATACTGAAGGATCACTGCCTTTCTCTCCAACTGCCATTAAATCCTTGGCAGTAATAGGTCCCAATGCTAATGCAACCCGTACCATGATTGGAAATTATGAAGGTATCTTTTTATTTTTTCAAGAAAATAGTATCACATTAAATGTAGCATGATTTATAGAAATTAATGTGATCCTGTATGAAATATTATTGCAACATGATTGGGAAAAAAAAAACAGTAATACTTATTTTGCCAAAAGGGAGATGCTAAGATTAGGCTGAGCATAGCTTGACCATGACTTTATCAGGGATTACTTACCATGGATATCTTGCAGGCTTGCCGTGTAAATACACAACTCCTTTGCAAGGTCTAACTGCCTCAGTTGCAACTGTGTATCAGCCGGGCTGCGCCAATGTATTGTGCACCACTGCTCAAGTAGATGAAGCTAATAAAGTAGCAGCAGCAGCTGATGCTGTAGTTTTAATAATGGGTTCGGACCAATCTATCGAGGCAGAAAGCAAGGACAGACTCGATATTACACTTCCAGGGCAGCAATCAATTTTAGTTACAGCAGTTGCAAATGTATCCAAGGGGCCTGTAATTCTTGTTATTATGTCTGGAGGTGGAATGGACATACAATTTGCAAAAGATGATCCCAAAATAACTAGCATCCTCTGGGTCGGTTTCCCTGGTGAAGCCGGTGGAGCTGCAATTGCTGATGTAATCTTTGGATTTTACAACCCAAGTAAGCCTTCTGAATATTTTCTCACTAAATTTGGTGAAGCATATTTGGTTATAGATTAGAAAGTATGGAAAGCTGTTTTTCTAGTATTGATTGTGTCTAATTTGGTGCAGGTGGAAGGCTACCAATGACATGGTATCCCCAGTCATATGTGGACAAGGTTCCTATGACTAACATGAACATGAGACCAGACCCCGCCACAGGCTACCCCGGTAGAACATATCGCTTCTACACTGGCCCAACCGTTTTTTTATTTGGGGAAGGACTAAGCTACTCTAAATTCAATCACTACCTCGTTCGAGCCCCAAAGCTCGTCTCCATCCCCTTAGACGAGGGACAAGTTTGTCACTCTTCAAAGTGCACGTCCATCGATGCTGTAGAAGAAACCTGCAAGAATATAGCCTTCAATATTCATTTGAGAGTTAAAAATATGGGGGAAATGGCTGGAAGTCACACTGTTTTCTTGTTTTCGAGTCCTCCCCAAGTGCACAACGCACCTCAAAAACATTTGTTGGGTTTTGAGAAGATCCATTTGACACCAATGGCAGAAGGACTGGTTAGATTTAATGTAGATGTTTGCAAGCATTTGAGTTTGGTGGATGAACTAGGTACTCGAAAGGTTGCATTAGGACAGCATGTTCTTCATGTAGGAAGCTTGAAACATTACTTGAATGTGAGGATTTGAAAAAATCTTCATCAATATTTATTTTTCTTGTTTTCTCTCTCTTTTACAGAAGAAATGAAAGGATAAATTTATTACAAGATGGTTCAGGAAATATCAGTAAAATGAGATTCTTGAAATAAAAATAAGGCTATGTTTTTAGAGTTCCTTTCTTTTTCATTACCTTGATGACTTTTTAGCTTTTTTATGATTGTTTCCACTCAATTACTTTCGATTGTGAGCTATTCTACTAATGTCATCTAAGTTTGGACATGGTCCGATTCGGCATTGAACCAGAATTTCTAGATATTTAGTAACTGAAATTGTTGGGTCCAAATTTAATTATTGAATCGACTTGGTTTGATTACTTTCGGTTAGCTTCCGTACTATAATTAAATTCTTTCAATTGTTATATTAACAAGCATATGGAAGATACTATAGTCTCAAATCGCTCAAAAAAATCCAAATAGACGAATAAACATCTTAGCCCATGTTACGTTATTGAAAACCCAGGAAGAAATCCAAATGTCATAAAGAAATTATATAAAAAAAACAACGCAAAAGAATTACAGTTCTTCGTCGTATGTAACTAAACCACAGATCTACATGTAAATGAGAAATGCATATAAAAACATTGAAATGTGCAGGTACAGTACCTGTTGGGAATTTACTTAATCATGCACATCGGAAATAAAACAATTTTTTAATTCCCAAACGAGGATCTGCAATGTGTTTAGATAGAAACTGTGATGAGAATGATACATTTGATGAATTCCACAAACTCTTTTGCTTTAACTTCAACTCCAATGATCACGATCTGCAAACCACGCTGTCCAATAGTCCAGCCTCCAATGGTGCTCCC